CCCGCCCCGCCCTGCGGGGGGGGTGCGACCGCGCGCGTGGGTGTGCGTGCGTGTGTGCGTGCGTGCAGTGTAGTGCAGTGCAGCGCCCCCAGCTGCGTGCGTGTATGTGGGAAGGTGTGTGTGCGCGCACAACATCCAGTGCCCCCAGCTGTGTGCATGTATGTGGGAGGTGTGTGCGTGCGTGTGTGCGTGCACCATTCAGTGCCCCCAGCTGTGTGCGTGTATGTGGGAGGTGTGTATGTGTGTGTGCCCCATCCAGTGCCCCCAGCTGTGTGTGTGTATGTGGGAAGGTGTGTGTGTGCGCGCACAACATCCAGTGCCCCCAGCTGTGTGAATGTATGTGGGAGGTGTGTGCGTGCATGCACCATCCAGTGCCCCCAGCTGCGTGCGTGTATGTGGGAGGTGTGTGTGTGTGTGCGTGCCCCATCCAGTGCCCCCAGCTGTGTGTGTGTATGTGGGAAGGTGTGTGTGTGTGCGCGCGCGCATGGGTGTGTGTGCGTACATGTGCACACTATCCAGTGCAGCAGCTGCATGAGTGTATGTGGGGGTGAGTGGGTGTGTGTGTACACACCATCTAGTGCCCCCAGCTGCATGAGTGTATGTGGGGGTGAGTGGGGGTGTGCTTCCAAGCCCCCCCACTCCATTCAGTGCCCCCAGCTGTGTGTGTGTGGATGTGAGGGTGTCTGTGCGAGGGTGTTGACATTGGGGTGTGCTCCACCCAGTGCCCCCAGCTATGTGTGTGTATGTGGGTGTGGGCAGTATGGGTGGGTGGGTGCATCCAAGCCCTTGCTCCAAATAGTGCCTCCAGCTGTGTGTGTGAATGTGGATGTGGGAGTATCTGTGCATGGGTGTGTGTGGGTGTTGGCCCCATCCAGAGTCCCCAGCTATATGTGTGTGGGTGTGTGCGGCTGGAGGTGGGGAGGGGTATGGGTGGGTGTGTACTTCCAAGACCCTGCTCCACCCATTGCCCCCAACTGCATGCGTGCATCCTCCAAGCCCCTGCTCCATCCCAGGCCCCCAGCTGCATTTGGGTGTGAGTATGCGAGCATGGATGTGCCCTTCAAGCCCCCTTCTCCAAGCCCTGCGTGGAGATGTGCAGCAGGAAGAGGGAGTGTGAGTGTGTGCCAGTATGATGTATTCCCAAGCCAGACAGACAGCCCCCGTGGGGCGTTTCACCGCAGTTGCTAAAGTTTGGCATCTCATAGCAGCTGGAAACAAGACACTGTTGTGAGAAACGCCGGGCAGTCTTTGTTATAAACCAGTGATTCCCAACCAGGGTGGTGCAGCACCTCGGGGTGCCTTGAGATCCTCTTGGGAGTGCTGCGGGTGCAAGGCGAGCACTGTGCGATGTGCAAACCTGACTCACAAGATAAACCCAGAGATTTCAAATGGGGAAATACCATGACCACTAAGGTGGATTTCCTACTGGCTAGGGAAAACCAGAAACGTGGCAGGGGGTAATGCATCATTAGCTTCTCACTTTCACTTCCAGTGAGAAGATCTTGGCTATACGCTGACTTACCGAAATGGGAGACTCCTCCCTAGCTTGCTCCTGCGGCCATACGGCTGAGGGCAAGAAAAACTCAGGGGTGTCTGAACCCCAAGCCTCCGGGCTTGGACCCGCATGTAGGATGCCCGCCAAAGGATTTGGAAGCATCTGAAGCCCCAGGTGGGGGTGGAGGATGCTTGCTGGTAGCAGGGCCACATATGGTTCTTGAATAACTCATGGATTTGGAATTGATTTAGATGATTTAACCTGGGACACAAAAATTTTTCCTTAAAAATAAAACCCAGGTAACCAATAGCCCAGACCTGGGGTACAGGGGAACCCAGGGCAAGAAGATCCACCCCCCTGCAAGCTTTCAAACACTCTTTTGGGGGGCAGGAGGAGTGAAGGGACGTTTCTCTTGGATTTAGTATGTGAGGGGAAGCATTATTTCTCTTTCATTTAAAAAAAAAATAATGTTACCTGGAAAATTCAGGTAAACCCAGACATTTTGGACTTGATCTTTCTTCATCCGTAAATCCTCTGGCCATTTGCACGCACCACATGGTGTGTTCTGATCCTGCAATGACAAGGCCACATAACTAAGGCAGGTAATAGCTTTAGGCTGGTGTTAGATACTAGGTGATCCCCAGTTCTCATCCAAGCTCTGCCACGGATACACACGGAAGAGGATTATCACATTTGACAGGTAATGGAGACCATTCTGCGCCTGTTCTGCCAGTGCCTACCACTCTGGATCACAGGTAGAACAAGCCATTTTGATGCACTGTAGGCTCCATTTTTCATGACATCAGCCTGGATATCTTTAAGACAGGGATAGGCAACCCCTGGCACAAGTGCCAGAGCATGGCACACAAAGGCATTTTGCTTGGCACGCGTGCCTCGGGGCAGACGGCAGGGAAAGGGCCAGGGCTGTGCTGCCACAACAAAAATTGGGCCCCTTGCAGTTCCCCTGCTATCCGCTCGCCAACATCTTACAAGATGAGGATCCGGGTGTTTTTGGCATTGCCCAAAAACATTGCTGACCCCTGCTTTAAAGCCTGATGCACAGTCGGCTGTTGTGCATGAGACCCCCTGCAATGGCAACGAGGCGCCGCAGGGCTGTTACTTGCAGATCAATGGCTGTGAGCGGAGCAGAGAGCAGCTGAAAGATGACGGGCTGGACAATGGGTTACCTTCGTAGACAGAATGGTGTTGTTCTCCCTTCTGAAATTAGCTCCTGGATACAAAATAATTCATTTATTTTTTAATTTTGTGTCTCAGCCCAAGCTAGCCAAATGAGCAGAACTCAGTCGTTCAAGTCTGTGTGGTGCTACCACTGCCAAGCATCCTCCATCCCAGACTCTTCAGCCTATGGTTTCAGATGCTCCCAAATTCACGGCAGGCATCCTATGTGCAGGCCCCAAGCCCGGAGGTCTTGGAGTTCGGACGCCCCCAAGTCCCACTTGCCCTTACCCTGGGGCCAAAGGAGCAAGCGGGGGAGAAATCCTCCATTTCCATAAAATAGGTGTGTAGCTGAGATCCTCCCCTTGGGAAGCTATAGTAGACTCTCATAAAACATTCTGTTTGCAGTGCATTGGACAGGTCTCCACCCTCTACTACACAATGCCATTCAAGGTCATCTTGCCCCAGGAATAGACCAGTGCAGTCCAGAAAGCACACTTAATCTGAGCCAAAAGGCTGAGAAATAGTGCATTAACACCTAGACTGTGATGCTTTGAGCAAGTCCAGTGCTCTGTGTGCAACACTCCTTGCTCGTCCTCCTGTGCAAGGCAAGTAGGGATCTATTTTTAATTGTTGGGGGAAACAAAAAAAGTGGGAGGGAGGCATCCAAGGGGTTAAATAGCCTTCCTATGGCATCAGCGGGGCAGTCAGGAATAGACCCTAGCGAGCCCCCTGCTCCAGCCACTAAATCCCAAGAATCCCGGCTTCTCATTCCCTGCTCTAACATACCCCCCGCTTTGCAAATAGAGCTCTCCGAGCCTGAAAATCCCGACTGTTGGGATTCTTAGCTCCTTTTGAGAGAGTTTTCTCCCAAAATACCCATGGCAGCTGGCCCTCAGCTCCCTTCTTAGCCAGGCTGCAGTGGAGGAATGCGGAGAACAATTTCTGGGGAAGGGATGACCCTGTAGCATCCCCGGGTGTTTGCACTCTGTGACTGCCCCCTGGTCACATTCTGTGCCCCAGCACCTGTCAGGGCCCGGGGGGTGGCTCCTGGGAGCCTCCCTCCTTCACTCTCTTTTAGCGGCATCAAATCCTTCGCTGAGCTAGGATTTCTCCCTGATGTCAGCGATTGCCTATGGCCTTGGTTTCCAGTTGTCCCATCAGCTGATAGGATCTCCATTCGCTGCAAGATCTGACTGAATGTTTGGCCTGAGAATCAGCAGTTTCCACCTCCCCCCAGTGTTACCCAAAAGGGGAATTGCCTAGGGCCCTATCCCTGCTACCCTGTTCCCCAGGGCAAAGCCCAGCCCAGTCCTTTGTTGCTTGCGTGGACGCCTTCCTGCCATGTCCTTGTTGCAGATGCAATCCTCCTGCGATAGTTATGACACTGCAGGATGCTGAGCTGGATTCAGTTTAACAATATGGGAAGTGCCAGCGCATTTCAGCACAAAACGGAAAAAAAGATGCAATGCAGTCATCACCCCTAGCTCTTAGCCAGCACTTTGCCACACTGCAGAGCATGTTACAAAGGAGGTTGGTGCTGGTGCCGTTGCCTCTGGTGCAGGAAGGGGAAAAGCCAAGTCACAGAGAGGAGAAGTAACTAGCCCAGGGGCACCCAGCAAGTGAGGAGCAAGAACCTATATCCTCAGAGTCCCAGTCTAATGCACTATGCATTATACTACACTGCCCAAAACGCACACATACTGATTGGCCTGCCAAGCCCAAGAGCAGTTGGCTCGTATACCTGAGCACAACTCTTTATTTGTCTTGTAGGGCTCGTCTACAGGCAGGGCCAGTTGCACAGCTTCAGCTGACGTGTCCCAGAGGGAAAACCTCACCGAGTCCTCAGACATCCTCACCACTGTCCCAGAGACGTGCTGCTGTCTGTTAGCCCACGTACCTGTTCCACCCTGTGCACGTAGCTCTGAAACAAGTCAAGCAAATCCTCCAGTGTTTGTAATATTCAGAAGAGCTAGAACCCAGACCCACTTTTGCTTGACTTGCAAGGTAGCTCCAGGGCTTCTTTAACCCTGACCAAGGAGTTTCATGTCCCCTCTGGACCTTTTCTGTGCCAGATCCCCCAGCAGAGCTCTTCCACCCCACAAAGGAGCCTCTCCCCCTTCATGTCCACTGGGCTATATAGCCTCACGTTGCTCCAGACTGAGCTCTGCCTGAGGTCCTACAACAAACACATGCTGCTGCTAGTCCTGGGACCCAAAACCCTGCAGGAGAAGCAGCACCCAGGCTGCAAAACAGGCAGAGGGGAGGGTGACAAGGCGCAGCTGAGCTGAGTTCAAGCCCCAGCCTGGGGCAGCTGAACAGATGCTGTTTCATAAAGCCCAGACAACTTCTTCATCCACTTAAGTGCCAGGCCAGTCTTGTGGTCACCTCCACCACCCCCACCTGCATCCACTAAGCCCAGACATCTCCCTTATCCACCAAGTGCCAGGCCAGTCTTCTGGTCACCTCCACCTGCATCTACCTCCTTTCTGAGCCTGCTTCCTTTGTAGGCTTTTATCTCCTCAATGATCAGTCAGCCAGGCTCCTTCATACACCTGAAGGGAGCTCAGAGGTGCAGTGGCACTGGGGCTTGGTGGTTGATGCCACACAGCTGGGCCAGCCCCAGCTGGGTCCTTGCTCCTCTGCAGAGCTGCAGTTTGCTGGTTGTCTGGATGGAGGGCATCGCTGGTCTGCCTGGGGAACAGCCGGGTCTTTGTCTGCCCCGTGTGCCACGGCAGCTGGCGCGCTCCCCCGGCATTCCAGCACGGGTACAGCTTCTGCCGGTGCAAGCGCTCGGCTGATAGGGGCCGCGCAGCTGGGGAGGAACCTGCCCCTGGACACAGGGAGCTTTTGTTTCGAGACGGTTCAAGGATTTGTCTTTCAGGGTGGCCGGACATCCCGTGCCCTGCTCTTCTTCCGGTGAGTGCCAAAACCCAGCTGGGCTCTGCTTCCAGGAGGAGCTCACTTCTGAGAGGTGGGTGGGCTGATGGGTCAGGGAAGATGCTAGCGAGACCTTGGAGAACTGGCTGGGGGAGACTCTCCAGATCTCAGTCTTGTCTCATGCAAAGCCCCGCTACACTGTGGGGCTCCATGCGGATACCCCTCAATGCAGGCCCAAGGCTTTACTCGTGACCACAAGCTCTCCAGGGCAGGGGCTGCATCGTCTCCCGTGCGAGTGCCCAGATCTGAGCATGACGTGCCCGCTCGTGGCTGAGACAGAAATAAATAATATTCATCTCAACGGAGCCAGTGTGGGATTGTCTGGAGTCCACACAGCAGCCGTGGCAGACCAAACCCTCTGACTGGCCTACTTGCCTCAGGATTGGGCTTTTCTAGTATTAGAAGGGCTTCTGGAGGGTCTGAAAGCCCAGGCCTGCGTGTCTTGTGTTTTGTGGGCAGTCAAAGGTGTGCAAAGGCAGGTGTGCCCATGCGTGAGAGTGGGGGTACATGGCTGTGCCTGTAGGTCACCTGGAGCAGGGGGCTGCATGGACAGGACCCTCCCCGTCACCCTGTAGGCCTCACATGCTTCCTCTTGCTCATGCTTGCTCTTGGCTCGCTTTCCTCATAAAGCCAGCCAGCCTGCGGGCTCTGGGCAGGGAAGCAGTATTTGCAGAGCCTGTCATGCTGTTGGCTCCCACATTGTTTGCAGCTGGGAGCCCTTTGGCATCTCTGACCCCAGCTGCAGGATCTTGGCATTCCCTGTTATGGATCTAGGCTCTCCTCCTGTTCACCATTTACTTTTTGCATCTCTGTAGGTCCTCGGGATCTGGGCTGCACCTGCTGAGAGTCTCTCCTGCTAATGGGGAGAGCGGAGAGTTCCCAGTCCCAGGGAGCTCACCTGAGCTGAGCTCTTATCACTCCTACCATCCTGGGCAGGGAGAGGCTGCTCTTTGCCCTTCCACCTGACCCAGATGCCTGTGCGCATGGTTATCTGGGGGGAGATTGTGCTGTGCTTTGTTTACCAACCAGCCAGGGGTGTGTGTGGCAGGCAGCCGCTCTAACCCCAAGCGCTATCATTGCCCTCTGCCACGCTGACCAACCTCTGCTCAGCTCAGGTCACTGGAGTCCAAAGATCCCTGTGGCTGGTGCTGGGGTGGAGGCCTGGCATGGTCCTTAGGTGCCAAAGGCTGGGGACCCTGCGGTCCAGCCAAGCTTTGGAAAGGAGGGGAAGGCAGGGCCCGAGTGCTGGGTTTGCATGATTGTGCTGAGATCAGGCTGGCTTGGAGACTCTCCAAGGAGGGTGGCTGGGGCAGCAGAAAGGATTCCCCCTATCCTGAGCCCAAAGTGAATGTCTCATGCTGAGCCTCACCCTGTGCTTGGGCACCAGCTGTGAGCCTTCTTTGGTGGGCAGGGGCAAGGCTGTCCCTAATGCAGGATTGTGCCCCAGGACTGCTCTAGCTCAGGAATCCCCAAGGGGCTTGTGCACCGGGGCTGACGTAGCTCCTACTGTTGTGCATGCAGCTCCGGGCACTTTGGGTCTTGCCATCGATGTCGCCAGCCTGCTTTGCTGCATCTGTCCTGCTGCAGCCCCCAGAGGGGCCAGCCAAGGTGGGAAGCCCCCTGGGCACTGTTGTAAGAGCTGGTCCTTGCCTCACAGTGCTTGAGATTAAGATCTAGCAGGTGGGTGAAGCTGATGGGCAGGGCTAGGGCTGGGGCAGCAGGGAGGTGCTGTTGAGTCGTTGAAAAGGGGCCTGAACTTGGGTTTTGGAGGTAGATTTTGGGTAAGGCTGTCCTACCTGGTACTGCCAGCAAAGCAGTTAGGAGGGTGGCTTGTATCACTAGTGCTGAGTTAACACTCGCAGCAGTGGCCCTGGGGAAACTGAGGCATGGAGAGCATAAGGGATCAGCCTGGTGCCCCCTCTGCATGTGCTGCTATGGAAAGCCTCCTTTCTTGCTGTGTTCGCAGCCTTTCCCCAGGGTCCCAGGCCCTGTGAGAGAGCTGGAGTCCGTTCCTGCCTCAGTTGTAGGCTTCCAGTGCAGCCTTGGGGAAGGTACTGAACTGCTCCCTGTACCAGTTTCCTCCTGTGAGTCGGGGGCTGGATGAGGCTTAACTCATGCAGATGTGCCAGCTGCTCTGAAACCTTTTTCTGCAAAGGAAGGAGGAGAGATGGGTCATGTAGCATCTCCTCCACAAATGAGCACACTTGGGGTTTCACCTCCTGCCCCCTGCCCATCCCACCCCTGAGGGGCATCCCAGCCCTCAGGGAGAAAGCTGGATGCCCAGCCACAGTCAGGCCAGGAAATGCTCTGTTCTGCATTGGTAGCAGCTAGTTCTCCATGACCAGCGGGGGGAACAAACCTTCTGCTGGGAACTGGTGGTTGCCTATTTCATAATCTGACCACAAATGTGTGCAACAGGCTGAGCTGCTTGCTCCACCCGTGGGGCTTGGCTCCCACTATGTGCTCAGTGGCGCGATGCCTCTGGGAACGGGAACATTTGTCAGCACCCAAACACACTCGGGGCTAGGCTGCTATGTGCCTCCAAACACACAGCCTGCCTCAAAGGGCTCCAGAGCAGGTTATGCATGGAGTACTCGTGCCCGTCCCTTCACCTGTGACTTCTGGGGGGAGGGAAAGCAGCTGTGCGACTGCACCCCTGGTGCCAGTTTGGGACGGGAAGCACAGAAGGAGATATCTTAACTCAGCTGAAATGAGTTTTGGGGCCAGAGGGGCTCTGATGGCTGCGTGGGTCCAAAATCCCAGCTTTTCTTTGGGTCCTAAAGTGCCTCTGGGGTAAGCAATTATTTCAGGCGGAGGGCCGCTTACTGAGTTTTGGCAAGTCATCGAGGGCCGCATGACAGGCAGCCAGGGGCAGATTAGTATTCATTTTCTAAGTTTTTTAGGGGCCCCGCAGGCTGGATAGAATGGCCTGGCGGGCCACATCTGGCCCACGGGACACATTTCACCCACCCCTGCTCTGGGGAGTCTTGTGGTGTGTTCAGTGTTAATGCAGACTAGCACTTGCTGATTCAGCCATTGGAGGAAAAGTGCGAGATACTTACTCACCCACCTGCCTGCTGCAGCCCCGAGGTGCTGGAGGCTGTGACTCACCCTGCCTAGACCGCAGCATCTGGGGTGACCACTGGTCACGGTGCTGTTGCTGCAGATGGGATCTCTGAACCCCCCAGTCATATCTGCATCGCTGTTTTAGAAGCTTCCATGAACTTGTACCACTGCTTAGGTCCCTGGCCCCATGCCATCAGCCTGACCGATAGCTGTCGGGAACAGGCTTGGACTCAAACAGGCCAGGGGAGAGGCTCTGTCAGGAATGTATTTAGACTGAGAGGGTTGTCAAAGCAGGGATCAGGTCTTCCTCCTCGTCTCCAGCATGCTTAATGCACTGTCCTTGCAATGCTTTTGGAGAGGTGTGCAGTTTAGAGACCAAGAGCCAGGTCTCCTGGGTTCTTCCCCCTGCTCTTGCACTGACCTTGGGTAAATCGCTGAACCTCTGTGGCTCATGTCATCCTCTCCTGAATTCCAGTCCTGGCTTTAACGCGGCCCCTTGCTTTGTGTCCTGGTGAGGCCTCACCTGGAGGACTGCATCCAGTTTGGACTGCAGCATTTCAGGAGAGATCTGGGCAAACTGGAGTCTGGACAGGAGTGCAACAAAAATGATCTAAGGCTTGGGAAATGTGACCTGCAAGGAAAGACCGGAAGAACTGGGGTCTGTAGCTTCGAGCAGAGAAGACGGGGGTTTTGACTTGTTAACAGTCTTTAGATACAAAAAGGGTTTTTTTTTTTTTTTTTTTTTTTAATAAAGGGAGGGGGCAATCAGCTGTTCTTTGTGCCCACAGGGACTGGTCCCTTCTAGCCCTATCTTTGTATGCTTCCCAGTCTGTGCCTCAGTTTCCCCATCAGTAAAATGGGGCTAATGTAATGTACCTGCCTTGCATGCAAATGGCAGGCACAGTCCCTTGGGGCTTGCAAAGCACCTTGCAAGCCTTGAAAAGTGCTACAGGAAGGAAGTATTTGTGCTGCCCAAATCCTAACTCTACCTGCACTTATCGGGAATCCCTGTCGCTTGCATTCTTCGGCTTCAGGGAATAAACCAACTGCTTGAAATGCCTAGGATTAGAAAGCTCCAGCCTGGCTGGTAACTGCGGGCTGAAGAGTTTCACACCCAAATTAGAAGCAGCTACTCTATCAGTGGGAGCAAGCAGAGATGAAAATGGGCCCAAAGTCGGGTGTGGAGCCAAACTGATTCCCGGAGCTCAGAGCTGCTGGCATGGGGAAGCCTTGAGCCCCTTGCGCAACTTGGAGGGAGCTGGCCTGTCCTTTCCTATCCCAGAAGTCGGAGGCTGGGGCAGCACAGAGCCTGATTTATGCAAAAGGCAGGAGTCTGGCCACAAATAGTTAAGCTGACACACACAATCATGCAAATTGTTTTTTTTTTTGTTTTTTTTTTAAAGAAAAAAAAGAACCACCCAAGTCCCTTTGATGCCTTGGGCTGCATATCCTTGTTTTCCTTTGCAACCATGGGGGTTAAAGAAATGTCAGAACTGAGACTTCCCCTTCAGCCACGGGTGGACAGCTGATTTTGGAGTGGGGGTGATGTGGTCACTGCTGGGATCTGGCCATCAGCTGCTGTTATGTAGCTGGAACAGTCCAAGCAAGGTGAATCGCTGCCTGTAACCCCAAATAGAACAGGGTTACACTCACTCTGGTTTCGCTTCACTTGTGTTGCAACAGGAGCCTGCCATGTAACCATAACCGTTACATCACTGGGTACTGTCTGTACTTTTCATCCCGTGCTTCCGGGAGCTGGAGCAGGGACGCTGGAAAGGGTTGCTCCGATCAGGATGTGACTCAAGTAACTTGTGACCGGCTGTGGGGAAAAAGAGGAGCCTGGGGAGTGGGGAAGAGGCTGGTTGTGGCAGGAGACTTCCCACTGGGGGGTGGGCAAGAAAGAGTTAGGAGCC